GCCACCATTCTGGTAGGAAAGGGAAGTTATGAGGAAGAAGGTGGCTAAGAGAAGCCCATCGGCCTCGTCGGCTCTCTCAGTTAATCTCCTGTTCTGGGAATGGTTCTGCATTCTGCAATTGTCCATAACAATAACAACAACACTCTGAGAGTCCCCATGTTCTTCAGGCTACAGGGAAGAGACACAGAGACCCCGGCTAGTGGACAGAGACAGTTTAGGTGTCAGGACCTGGGGTCCGACTGCTTCCTCCAAGCTCTTACACACTGAGCCGGTCACAAACGCTCCCAAGCAGGTGGTAGGCTTAGTTTTCAAGATGCCCAAGTCCATGTTCAAGTGAGACCACTCTGACTCCCAGTTTAAATACTTTCAGAACAGGTTTCTGTGTTAGGACAGGCTTCCCCTAGCAGACAGGGACCCCAGAGGACACAGGTTCACCTGGCTCTTTGCCATAGAGTTCCGCTCCAAACCGCAACAGAGCTTTCCAATGGTGCCCCATGGAGGACGGTTTTGGTTAAATGGCATAAGCTGGCCGTGGCCAACTTGGTGAATTTTAACAACTTCCCCTTTATGCTACTCTTCGATATTTCAAGCTTAGCTGGAGTTAAAAAAATCATCTCAATTCCAACTTCTCAACTATGTTCTCCTAACTGGGTGGTGCCTGATGAATTTATGCTTGGGTGAACTGAGTTCCCTTAAAAATACAGCTTATCTGTCAAAATAATTCAATCCTATTTAGGGAACGGCTGGGAGGCAATGAAATCTCACACAGTTGGGAAAAAAATCTTCATTTCCTCTCAGTTCCAGTGAGCCCCTAGCATCTCAGCTGCACTCACTGGCCCATGCAGAGGACAGTGTGGCACAATAACCCCGCACACAGAGATAATTAACAAAAAAGGGGTGTAGGGACAGGACCGCTGGCCTTCGTGTGCTGAGCACATCACCGGAGGAGGTAGAGGAGTTCCCTGGTCTGCCACTCTCATCCAGCTTTGTCGTGTCTGCAGACCACAGCCCTTGTTTGTTATCAGAACCTTCTGGAGTTGGGGGGTGGGTGGCGTTGCCCGTTTCACAGGACTGGGGTCCACCTGCACCACACAAAGCCCTTCTTACAGTGCTAACCTGACCCTTTGAGGTTCGTTTGTATTCTTGTGGGCAAAAGGATGGCGAGTCCCTTGATTACCACGAATCATTGACTCATCTCTGAAGAAGCTGCATTTGATGGATGGAGAATGTGAGGTTCTGGAGGAGAAATGAATGCTTAAAGGTCCCACAACAGTTAGAAGAGGCATTTAGGGGCTAAACAGGTGGCTGGGTGGTTAAGAGCACCTGGTGCTCTTCTAGAAGACCCCAGTTCAGTTCCTGGCACCGACATCAGGCAGCTCATAATTGCCTGCAACTCCAGCTCCAGGGGATCCAACACCTCTGGCTTCCACATGCAGTCCCCGCCCCCCACCTCTGTCTGTCTGTCTGTCCGTCCGTCCCTCCCTCCCTCCCTTCCTCTCTCTCTCTCTTTCTCTCTCTCTCTCTCTCTCTCTCTCTCTCTCTCTCTCTCTCTCTCTCTCTCTCTCTCTCTCACACACACACACACACACGTGAAATTAATAAAAAAGAATAGGCATTTAGTGTAAGGATTTAACCAGTATCCAGCTTTGACTCTTATGATGACGAGAGAGATGAAAGACCTTGGGTAGACACTGGAGGAAAGTTTTGCTCTTACAGCTTCTCCCCTAGGCATTTAGATACATCTTTAACATATTTTTTCAAACTAAGGCAAAAATCCAAAACATAAATCTAGATTTTTCTCTGCTAAATTTGTGCAGGAAGCTGAGAAAAACAAGTGCCCTCACTATCTTTAGCCAGTGTCCTGCAAACTAGCCAGGCCTCACTGTTCTCACACCTCTAGAAGCACCCTCAGCCCCCCCCCCATGGAAATGGGCAGTGATCTTGGCCATGAGCTCCCACAGCAACTCTGAGCAGCGGGGTTGGTCATGAGGAGGAGGGAAGGAGGCTGCCCCGAATGGGGCACAAAGCCACATATCACGCTTGCCCCACAGTCCCAGCATTCTGAACAATCTACTGTTTTTTTTTTTTTTTTTTTGGTTTTTACGAGACAGGGTTTCTCTGTATTGTTTCGGAGGCTATCGGTCCAGCCTGGCCTCGAACTCACAGAGATCCGCCTGCCTCTGCCTCCCGAGTGCTGGGATTAAAGGCGTGCGCCACCAACGCCCGGCCAAACAATCTACATTGTTTTTATAGAAGAGAAATGCATACAGACCTGCTCAGACCCCTGGCTGCAGCACAACACTTCACTGACTCACTTTGTAATGTTCCTGCTGGTTTGCTGATAGATAGATTTGCAAACAGGCAGATAAACCAACAAGACACACTACTGGCTGGACACGGGATATAGAGTCTAGAACTAACCGACCTGGCCACACAGTGCTTTGGCCTCAGGCAAGGCTAAGTCTCTACCCTCTAACCTCCCAGACTCCTGTGGTTCTGAATGTGACAGGACCTGGTGACATGCCCACGCAGAGGTGCAGGGCAGTCATTGTTATTATCAGCAATGGTAAAGACTCCTGGAGTGGTTACATCTTTTGTCTCAGCAAAGAGCAACTGGGGCTTTCCTTTCCCGGGTTCATGGCTACCTGGCGAAGACAATTCCCGCCTGGCCCCCCTGAGCACAATGCACGGCAGATGTCTTGCTACCCCACACAAGAGATCCAGCCGCTTGAATCCAGCCCCACTCAAAGCCATTTGACCTACATTGTTTTGCCCTTGTTGTGCGGGAAAGGACGGTCTTAGAGCATTTTGGGGAATGTAGAAAAACCCATGCTTCAGGCAGTGATGCTGGGGCAATGGAAGGAGCCTTGACGTTGAGACTCCAGAGTAGGGCTCTGTGTCACATGTAACAGGGCCATTTCCATACCAATGAGGATGGGAAGCCCAGCACTGACATTCCTCTGGTCATTCCCTGGGGATGAGTCCCCTCAAGCCTCCCTTGAAACCAGTTGGAGCTTCCCCAGACATGATCCAGAGTTAAGAACAACAAATGCCCAGTATGTTTGAATCAGTGCTGGAAGTGCATTTTGTCATCTGGTAAGTCTCTCGTGGGGGTACCTGGTACCTGTGAATGGAGGACCTCCAGCCGTACACACCACGGTGGGCATGAGCCAAATGCCAGAGCTCAGGAGATGGGGAACTTTGTGTGCACTGGGTGGACTCTGGGGTACCAGGTGTTGGTCAGACATAACTCCAGATGTGCCTGCCAGGGTGCCTAGATAAAATGGTGCAACGCAGATGTTCCTCCCCTGTAACTGACCTTGCCCAGCCTCCCTCCTGGGTGACAGAGAGTCCTGCATGACTGTGAGGGCAGGGCCTCGGCCTCCTCTGCTCTGAGCCTGTGCCTAGGCCCCCCGGGTCTCTCACAGAAGCTGCAGATCTAGGACAGTTCGGCCAGAGACTGTATGCGTTGAGTCCTTACAGAGAAACCCTGTGTGCACATCCTTTCCCTTCTGTGTCCGGGAACCCTGGCTAACTGGCCCGGAGACAGCTAAGCCCTCGCTCTGCCAGAAGGTGGCAGACCTTTGTGTTTGCTGGAGCGTGTCTGAGCAGCAGAAACTTTGTCCCCGGCTTTCCAGGCTGCTGCAGAAACAACCCCAGTGAATTCGAAGCTGAGATCCCAGGCATGAAATCCATAGCTCATTACACTAGCCTTAATTTAATCATGTGACCAAAAGGAAACACTGGCTGGCACGGTCACACAGCGCAACAAAAAAGGAAATGATGGATTTTGAAAAGCACCCTGCACCCCATGGGCCTTCAACAGCGACAGGCTGTTCTCAGGCAGGCTGGCAAGCACAGACCGTCCCCGCTGTGCGCCAGGGCCCAGGCAAGCGCTTAGCTCTGTCTCCAGGCAACACAGCAGCAACCACCACATAGAAGGAACTTTGCAGCTCGCTGTTGGCATAAAATTGTCTGTGCACTGTCTCTCCACACATGTGAATCACTCAGAACAGACACACAACATACCTTCCTGACCCAAAGCCTGACCCCCATGCATTTCCTACCAACAAGAGCACCTTCAACCCTAGAGAAGAGCATATTTCTTCCTCTGTTACCTCTTGACCCTGTGAATATAGTTCATAGACAACATCTACTTCCAAATGAGTCCATAGTAATCAGGGCCAGTCACAATCAGGGCCGGTGTTAGTTATAGGTTCTTTTAACACCACTGTCCTGGGGATCTCTAAGGACTCTGATGGTATGTAGCTGTTTCTTTCCAATTGAAACATTCTCTCCTAGAGTGGGGAGGCAGGCTAGTAGGATTCAGGAAGTAGTTTGCTTACAAGGCTCAAGAAGCTCCTGAAATTTACAGGACTCACTAAATTCCTTTCCAAAGTAATGTAAGATTAGTGATTACTTGGGAGAGGAGATTCTCTGATTGACCTAGAAATTTTCCCCTTTATTTTTTATTTATGGCTGTTTTGCTTGCACCATGTGTGTGTGTAGCGCATACATGCAGTGTCTTCAAAGGCCAGAGGAAGTGTCTGATCCCCTGGGATGGGAGTTGCAGATGGAGGGCTGGGTCCCAGGTGCAGCAGAGGCACAGTGTCACAACACAATCTCATAGGGAAAGGTCAGTGGGGTTTACACTTAGTGAGGAGTTATGAACACACACAAGAAGTATGAGAAAGAACTGGATCCTGTGAGAACAGCAGTTGACAAACAGATTTGAGGAGCTGAAACCTTGTAGACAAGTAGATGGTGTGATTCCAACTGAAAGACTATATGTAAACACATGGATCCTTCTAGTCCCTGTAGCAAGCGCTGCTTCTCTGGGCCATCAGTGCAAAGCCATGTCACACAGCCCTTTTCTGGGTGCTAGAACTGCGTCGACAGGTGTATATTGAACTCTGGGGCCAGCAGGCAGATGTGGTTCTCAACCTAGACAGGGTACATGGCGGAACCAGAAACACTGGAAGACAAGACAGCAGGCTTACCTTGTATGCACCACAATTTTGCTTGGCTAGCAAGGAACAGTCTGAGAATATGTCACCCCATGTGGCAAAAGAAACTTGCAGTATGACAAGATTATGCGCCCCGAGAAGGCTGCTGATCCGGTTAGGTGGGCTTGACAAGGTTCTACAGTTTGTGCACACGGGAGGCTGGGGCCAATAAGAGAAGAAAGACATGTGAAGGTGGTGGTCACGGTGATACGCCTTGGTGGTAGAGGAGCGGGAAGGCATGGCCTGAAGCTAAAAGGCAAGGGATAGCTAGCTAGATCCAGCAGGCTCAGGAAGGGGCCAGCCCTGCTCCACATTGGCTTTACCCACTATGAATCTCTGTTCGTCAGAGCTGTGCCCCACAGTAAGGCAGGCAATTTGTGCTCTCTGCTTCAGTGGCTTAGGGAACAGGTGAACTGATCCCTTATGCAGCTCCCAGTCAGTGTTAGCCGTGGTGCCCAATTAATCCTATTTAACCCACTCTTCCTGCTAACCAGGCTTGGAACTATTATCCTTATTGTTAACACTTTAGACTCCTGGGTTATGAGTGCTGACTAAGGTCTCATCTGAAGCTCCATCCACTTACAGTGAGTTCTGCCTGCTGACCCCTCAGCCCTCTGTACCTAAGTAGGATGGAGCAGGAGGGTAAGAGACCAAGGGCCAGCTATGGACTCACAAACTTCCTAGGGCATCCCCAACCAATTGACCCTCTTCTTTCATGGGAGAGGGCAGGAGAGCTAAGCTTTAGGGGAGGTCTGGTAACTGTGCATATTGTTGACAACTGGTCAGGGTGCAGGTGGGGTTGCCATGACAACTGCCTAGGTGGAAACACCTGAGCTGGGTTCTGGACGTTATGGAATCCTGGTCAGTCTGAATGCGGGCCCCAGCTATAGCCCACTTGGGTAGAGTGTGAGCCCCAACTCTAACCCACATAAGAATAACCTCATGGCCCTCAGATGTTCCCAGGAGGGCAAGCCTGTTACTCAGCACCACCGGTCTTTCCTGCTATATGTTTGGGCCCTGGACTAGTCTCTGACCTTGTATTCAGTGTCTGTCTGCTGCTCTCCAGCAGTGCCCACCATTATAAAGGACCAGCAACACAGGTAAATTCACTGTGTTGTAGCCAGCACACCATCTAGCCATATCTCCATCTTCTCATACTGAGATTGCGATCCCAGCAGATAGCCGCTCCCCAAACCCTTCCCACCCCCCCCCAGAACCCACCACTCCAGTCTCCATCTTCATGGCATAACCACCTGACACACAGTAAGACAGGCAATATGCTCTTTGTTTTTGCGACCTTCCTCCCTCTTCCCTTTCCTCCCTTCTCCTCCCTTCCCTTTCTCCCTTCTCTTTCCTTGGTAGTGCTCTGGACTTAACCTAGCACCCCGAACATGCTCGGCAAGTGTTCTGCCACTGAGCTACATTCTCGCCCCTGTTTCTTGGGACGTTCTTTGTACACCCAGCATAGCATCCTCACGGGCTCTCCACTTGGTGACTGGTGACAGGATTTCTGTTGTTCTTAAGCAGGCGGAGACTTCTAGAGATGGGTGGGTAAAAGCCACACACCAGTGAGTGTGTGCAGCGTCGTTTCTGCGTGCCAGAACGTGGCAAGATAACACGATGTACGTGTGTTTTACTAAAAACAGAGCAGCTGATGGGCTATGGGGCCTTTTCCTCCTGAGAGATGCTCGCACCTTGCCAGTTACATGGCACCTAATGCGTGCAGAGGACAGCCATTTCCTGAGTGCTCCACACTGAGCTCCTCCCTCTGATCGTGGCACAGATAGAAGCACAGCCGCTCTGCTCTCTTGCACACTAGTGACTCCAGAGGGCCATTCTGTGCAGCTTCCAAGTCAGGGTCTCCTAAGGTGTGCCCCAGGACATGGTGTAGGGGAGCTAGGACTTCCTACCCCCACCCCACACAAGGTGAGAGAGCTCTGTGTATCCAAAACATCCTGGCAGGTAGACCTTACACAATGTGTCAAAACCACTTCTCACAGGAACTGTTTCAGTCACCACCACCAAAAGTGCTGTCAAGAGAGTGAGATTCATGCTCAAGCTGTCCCAGTATCCTGAGCATGAGGGCCCAAGCCTCAAGTTAGAGATCTTATTCTAATCACGTTGAAGCCCTGGTTTTACTATGAGGGGATCGCCAGCCATTTGGTTATGCTGTGCAGAGAGCTATTTTCCAGACAAGCTATTGATAGTTCATGGCTTCATCCCATCCCAGGCAGCAAAGAGAGGGGATTTACCCATCTGACTCCAATTGGACCATGGAAGTTCTCTGGTGTCCATTTTGTCACTAACATGCCAGAGAGCAGGTGTCAAAGCATCCTTGGGTTTTAAGACAGATTCCAGAGAACCTTCTTTTTACTGTTCTCTGTCGCCAATAGCTTTCCAAAGAGACTGTGTGAGTCCACACTAAAGCAATGTGGACATACCTTGCTTGGCAAGATATGTCTCCCACCAGGGGTTACCACTGTTTTAATTGCAACCTGTTGTAGAATATTATTTTAACTATGTAAACATGTGTTACATTTGTTTATTCTGTGGACTATTACTTTAAATGTACAAAGGTCTGTTACTTTTGTTTATGATACATTTGTTAAATGATATAAGGATGTGTGGTTAATGATGTAAAGATGTGTTACATTTGTTTCACCTTGCCTGCCTAAGGCACCTGATTGATCTAATAAAGAGCCGAACAGCTGATAGCCAGGCAGGAGAAAGGATAGGCTGCCAGACAGAGAGAATAAATGGGAGGAATCCAGGCTCAACAAGAGAAGGGAGAAGAACAAAGGAGGAGAGAATGAGGGACATGCCCCGGGCAAGAAGCCAGGCAGCCACTGAGAGAGCAGACACTAGAGGCAGTGAAAGTAAGATATACGGAAGGAAGGAAAATAAAAAGGCCCGAGGCAAAGGCAGATAAAGAGAAACAGGTTGATTTAAGTTAAGAGAGCTAGCCAGAAATGTGCCTTAGCTAGGCTGAGCATTCAAAACTAATAAGTCTCTGTGTTGTGATTTGGGAACTGGTTGGTGGCCCAAAAGAAAAAACCTGGTCCAGTAACTGAATTAGGAAGACGGTGTTTGGAAGAGTACACTGGTAGGGGAACAGGGATGTGAGCAGATGTTTGCAGAGGACCTGGGGCTTGGGGTTCTCCAGATCTGTGATCACTCACTGAGGCATTCCTAACTTCTGTTCCCCAGTCTTTCACAAATGACTTTTGTCCTGAGTAATATGTGGAGTTATTACTACGTAAAATTCTAACACTTCCCCCCCCAACGTGTAAGCTAGGCAAAGGCTTTAGCACTTGATCAAACTTCATGCCTCAGGCATCAGAAGCAGAACCAGAAACTCAGACTACTCAGGCTTGGGACACCCACTAACGAAGCAAACCAAATGAATTTCCTTACGTTTACATTTAAGTTTAATTTGCAGTCAGGGCTGCCATGCTCTTGGTCAATTTGGTTTCTCAGGATGTGTTATCCCATTAGGTGAACCCTGGGGATGGCCAGGGATACTATAGGACTCCATGGAGATGGCCCGAGAGCTCTGTCCAAGGGAGGGGTGTCAGTGTAAGGAAGTTGGGAGTGTCTGCTCAGGGGGACAGAAGGGTGTCTAGGGAAGGGTCTGGAAGGACTTGGAGTAGGACTCAGATAAATTCAACTGTAGAATGCCCTCTCCTGCAGGGATATCAACACTTGCAAAGACAAACTCCAGTCTGCTACATAATGTCTTTTCCCATTGTCTCCAGAGTGTTCTATGATGATCAATGAACCCAAATGCTGTTAGGTTGGTTTGGTTTGCTTTTTCTCCTCTCTCCTGTCATGAGAACTGGCTAGCCACACGCAACAGACCTGTTTGCATTTCATGTGCTGCATTCCAGGATTGGTGGACAACACAGAGAGAAGAGGAGGAGAAACAGATTGTTCAACAGGATCAGAGTTCTCGTTTCTCCATAAAAAAGCCTCTAACCCTGGGATATCCAGATTTGGCCCATACAATTCTCCAGACCAGTGGTTCCCACCGTGTGGGTCACAACCCACTTGGGGGACTCGAATGACCCTTTCACATATCAGATTCCTAACAGTAGCAAAATTACAGTTATGAAATAGGAATGAATATATGGTTGGAGGGTCACCCTCAACAGGAGGAACTGTATTAAGCCGTTGCAGCATTAGGAAGGTTGGGAATGGCCGCTCTAGACACTTAAGACACTGGGTATTTTTTAGCTCTACCTTGTTCAGACTTTGTAGGTATTGCCTGCTGAGCTATTGGAAATGCAGAGAGGGCCCCAGGATAAAAGCTGTGGGTCCTTGTCCTGAAACTCTATGCAGTTTGGAACTCCATGCATCAGTTCATTGGACCCTCCTTCCTGACCACTCATGTGGCATGGGAGGGAAAGGGCCATGGAGTCTATAGCTCTAGCCAGGGCAGGGAGTATAGTGGACAACCATGGCATTCGGCATGGATGGTTACATGCCACCTGGGTGCCACATGTGGCCTTTTGTCCACACCTCCATGATCCTGGCTCTCCCTCTGTCCTGACCTTGCCCCAAAGCCCACACTTACCCGTTCCTCTTCTGCTCGGATGTCAGGCATGGTGCTCAGGCACAGGCCGACGGCTGTGACGGCCACGAAGGCCACGGAGATGTAGGCGAAGAGCTTGCCTGCCAGCCCGGAGTGCGGGTTCTCCACCACATCGCGCAGGCGCCGTCGGCTCCGCTCCAGCCGCCCTGTCCCCAGGGCACGCACTGGGCTCCCCTGCGGCCCGCGGCTGGGTGGCCCTGAGCACGCCTCGGCGGCCTCTTCCTCGCGGCGGCGCAGGCGACGCAGACAGCAGCGCTCCAGCCGCGCCTCGTCGATGCCCCAGTAGGCTAGCTCGTCGCGGAAGGCCAGGGCGCAGGGGCCCCGCAGCAGTCGCAGCTTGCCGGCACGCAGCAGCGCCACGATGGCGCGGAAAGCGCACGGGCTGCGGTCAAAGAAGAACTCGTCGCGGCTCACGTCGTAGTCGTCACACACGCGCAGCAGCTCGTCGTGGCCGCGGCAGGCTCGCAAGCGCTCGAGGCGAGCCAGGGGACAGCGAGCCAGCGCGGCCCAGGCCAGCCGCACTCGGCAGCCCCCGACGTTGATAATGACATGTCGCGCCCGGGCCGCTCGACCGCCTCTGCCTCCTCGGCCTGTGCTGCCAAGCTCTGGACCGGGGACCTCCGGGTTCCCCGGGAGTCGGGCCATGGCCCCATATGCCGGCTGTGGTCAGGAGACTGGGCCTGCAAGAAGAATCCGAATGTTAAGACTGAGGGCTGAGAAGCCTACCTAGTCAAGGGTCCAGGGTTCCGGGGACCAGGAGCTTCCTGTCCCCAGGTCCAACTCTGGGACACTTGCAGGCTCCAGCTTGTCCAGACTTGGGATTCCCCAAACTTTCCAGGGGACACCTTACCTTACTTTATCTCCTAGAGGGCTGGGGCATATAAAAATTTCTCGGGTAAGTAGGGGTCCTGGGTGGAAATGGTTTAAGAAACCCTAGACGCGAACAGTTCTTGCTATGTAGCATAAGGCTTTTTACAAACCCATGTCTGGTCATCCCTGGGCTGGTCAGTGTTTAAAAAGCAAGCACCTACCCCCCCCCCTTAGCAAAGGAGGAAAACAGAGGTGGGGTGGGGCTTGCCAAAAATTAGAAACAGACTTATGAAATGCCAGAAAATGCACTGTGTACACTGCTCTGGACTGGATTTAAAGGAACCAATTATAAAAAAGACATTTAAAGCCAAACGAGAAACACGGAGCACAATGTAGGAAGGAAAAGAAAATGTAAAGCTATGATAATTGTATATGAAAAACCAGGGCAGTTTTTCTTAGAGGTCCTGTCTGCATGTTCACAGACGCTGGTGGTCGCAGAGGAAACTGCCTACGTCTCACAGCGGTTTGCCTCGCAACAGGCCTTGCTATACTTCATGCATCTTTGACATCTCCATGATGGCAGTGGTCCGCTCTGCTTGGAACAAAGCTTCCAGGTAATTTTGCTGCACAGCTGGGGTTGAGAAACACCAATCAATCAAGAAAGGCAGAAACCCACAGCGCTTGATTTTTCAGTCAGCCTTGATTTCTAAGTCAGATGAACTATTTGGTACCCACAGGAATTCTTGAGATGGTCTATGAGCCTTCTAGGTTTCTATGCCAACTGTTTGGCATACAATTTTTTTCCTCCACTGGGCTCACTTTTCCTGGAGGATTCTATATAAGGGGTGAGGGGCATTACTAACATCCAAGATTTGGACTGCACAGAGGATTCTGCTCTTTTTCCCAGAGGACTCCCCACCCCCTCCAATTTGCTGTTTACAGTGCTTCTTGGCTCCCCGGAATGGAGAGGTCAGAGGTTCAGCAGAGGCATGTAGAGCTGTGGTAACAGCAGCAAGAGTGTGGGTGACAGGCAAGTCCCAGTTGGTTCAGGTTGGAGAAACCAGCCATTGGGAACACCATGAATGTCTGTTGGGGGACACCTTACCCCATGTTCTCATAGTGATGGACAGACAGACAGACAGACAGACAGACAGATGATAATTGTCAGCACATACACTAGGAAAGAATTTTCTTAGCCCCAACCACAGTATCATATGTGGCAAATACATTGCACAACAAAGCACTCCAAATCTATCCTAAGGTGATGGAAAACAGGTAAAACACTTTGAGAGCCGCTTTTGTGGAACTTTGGAACTAACTAAAAACTGTCAGTGACCGTGAGGACCTTAAGAGAAAGCAACTGAATCTTAATGACCTTTTGCAGCAACTGGACTTCCCCTGTGTCTACCCTACTCCAGTTCAAGGAACTTCCCTCACATCAAGCCCTGAACTCAAGGAACTCACTGCACAGACACCCTCCGATCTCAGCTTGGGGGACTCACCCCACAGCCACCCTCCAATCTCAGCTTGGGGGACCCACCCCACAGCCACCCTCTGATCTCAGCTTGGGGACTCATCTTGTCTATGTCCTGCTCCTAGTTCAGAGAACTCACTTTGTCCACTCCATGCTCCCAGCTCAGTGGTGTCCTTGAAAAACACTGCCCGTACTACCGACACCAGAGCTGGTACTGGGAGAACACACCTCACCAGGGGTCACCATTCCCTTAAGCTCCTTCCAAGCTCCAGGAAGACTGACCCAAGGCTTTGCCGTTATCTCTCACACCAGAAACCTGCCTGGTGCCAATACAGACAGCTTAAGACTGTCTGTCAAAGCCATTCATAGGAGCATAGTTTCGCTGTTATTGCTTAAGGCAACGGATTGCAATTGGAACAAGCAAGAGCTTCGGAGGACAGGCTGGACATGAAGTGCTTGAGGAATAAGGAATTGGAAAATGCTTTGGGATTCAGGATGCCACACATATGCCTGGGCTGCGTGTGTGTGTACTCAGTAAATATCAAAGAAGCCTCCAGCGCTTTTTGGACTGACCTTTAGACATGAAAGCAGGTGAGCAGAAGCATTGAACAGGCTGCCTGGCTGAGTGCTGGCAAGGCCCCAGCTCACCCAGCCCATCTGCCAAGACTGGGTTTGTTTTTCCTCTGTGAATCTAATGGAACAGAGACATTATGGCCAGGTATGACAAGGCAAGGCATACAGAATTTACAAAATCAATGCTCTAAAGTATGGGCTGTGCAAACAAACACCAGTGACTATGACACATCGCTGAGTGCAGAATCTGGTTTCCAGAACTGCTGCTTACACTAGTCAAAATTTCCAGTTTTCAACAGCAACAATTACAGACTTGGAAGAATAAAGAACTGCTGCTTACACTATTCAAAATGTCCAGTCTTTGACAGAAACAATTATAAAGACTATGAGGAATAAAGAAGAATGACTACCACGCATGCTAAGAACAACTAAAATGAACTGTCCCTAAGGAAACCTGTATGGCAAACTCATCAGATAAGATTAAATAAACTAAATTAAATATGTCCAAGAGATAGCCTAGGGTAATGATGCATGCCTGTAATCCCAGCACTTGGGAGACTGAGTTTGAGGCTAGCCTGAGCTACAAAGTAAGTTTCAGGTCCTCTTGGTCTGCAGTGTGAGATCCTATCTCAAAAACAAAAACCAGCAAACAAAAAAGTTAAAGGAGGCCATGCCCAAAGGCCTAAAGGAATCATGAGAATAACTCTACAAGCAGTACCAATAAGGAGACATAAGTTATAAAAAAGGAAGCAAGAGAATACTGGAGTTGAAAAGTATAATAAGATCAGAAGCTGAAGAATCGAGAAGGCCTCAGGTAGTGTGTCACAGTGCTGGGGGGAGTATTTGTACACTGGGTGAAGATACATTGCTGTGATTGATTTAATAAAGAGCTGGATGGTCAATAGCTAGGCAGGAGGCATAGGCAGGACTTCCGGGCAGAGAGAGGCGTGCAAGATGCCATCTAGATACAGAACCAGTTTGACACACGAAACGGGAGAGAGGTAAAAGCCTCGTGGTAGGGAATAGATTAACAAAAATATGGGTTAATTTAAGTTATAAGAGCTGGCGGGACAAGCCTAAGCTAAGGCAGAGCTTTCATGATTAATAACAAAGTCTTGGTGTTGTTATTTGTGAGCTGGTGGCCCAAAGGAAAGTCTGATTGCATCATCAGATGAAAGCTCTGCCTTAAGGCGCAGAGGGGAAGCTGAGAACGGGAAGCAGAGCTGCCTGCAGGAAGAAGCCAGCCAACCACCTCAGGTTAGAGCATCCCAGAGGGAGAGGGAAGGGGGACAAGGTGAAGACAATGCTTGAAAAAAATGCTTTAAAAATCCCCAAATCTGAGAGTCAGCTCTCTTAAGGACACGCCCCCCCCTAGAGGCTACCCATGATCCAGTAGATGGCCTACACCCATGTGCATGCAGGCAGTACTAAGTGGACATGCTGGGTTAAAAAAAAAAGAACACATGAAACTGGGTAGGGGTGGGGGGGTTGGGATAGAGGAGGAATTGGAGGTGAGGGAATGGGAGATGATGGACTTGATTAAAATCCGTTATATGTTTATGAATTTCTCAAATTATAAAATTGTCTCCACATTTGATGAAAGCCATTATTCTGTGCCTCAGGAAACTCCAAGCCAGATAAATTCAGAAATCCATAGTGGCATAGCTCATACTAACTGTCTAAAGACACGATACAAGAGTAGCTTGAAAGCAGTGAGAGAGGGATTGTCACTAGGGGAAACTGTCAGTGTTCCACCAGATGCCTGGAGGCCAGCAGGTGGAGGGATGGCACACATCACATAGAGAGATGTCACTCGGTTTAGTTATAGCCAAACAAGGGGAGTTGTGGAAATAGCTCAGTGTAAAAGCTCACTGTGATCATTGCAAAGCACTGTTAATGTGTTTTTAAAAACACTGACCTGCATACTTTAAAACAATTAAAATGTTAAGTATAATTCTATGTGATTTTATTTCAATTGGAACTTGTTCCAAATGAGGAGGTCTGGGTGAAATCCAGTACTGTGTATGTGCGTTTGCACATAAGATGGAGGGCCTGAGTTTAGTCCCCAGCATTCATGGAAGAAGTCAGAGGGTGATAACTGCTTTTAACCCCAGGTCTGGGAAGGCAGAGACAGCCTGGTCTTTGGGGTTCACTGGAGCCAACCTAGATGAACTGGTGAGCCCCAGGTCCCAGCAAGAGATCTTAAATCAAAAAACAAGGTGAACAGCTCTTAAAGATTGACACCTGTCATTGACCTCGGGCCTCCACACATATGTATGCATATGTGCACATGCACAAAGACACATACACTTACACACCAAACATTGTAGAAAACAATGTCAGAGAAGATGTAGAAATACTAGAATGTCATACGTGGTGGGGAAACTACACAGCTCAGCCCGTAGCAAACAGCTGGCAGTGTCCCCAAGACCAAACAGTCACCTCTCCACATGACTCATCGATCACCTCCTACATAAGCACCCGAGAGAAAAGAAAACATACATCCAAAAGAAAAGGTGTACAAACATGTTTATAGAAGCCTTCAAAACAGAATGAATATAACCGGGGTTCCATCAACCGCTGAGTGTGCAAACAGAAGCCATGAAGTACTACTACCACACAGACAAAGCTTGAACATGTTATACCACATGTAAAAGGTCATACAGAGTGAACCCACTGATACGACACGGGTTAGTTCATTCACTGAGACATGAAGTTATTGGCTGCCCAGTGGGGGAGGGGCAACAGAGCACAAGCATTTAGTAGGTGTGGGGTTCCTGCTGGTATGATGACAATGGCCCGGAACAACACAGTGGTGATGGT